TGCGTCGGTGTTCCGGGTCTGGGGTTCCCGTGCCTTTGTCCGCGATACCACCGCGGACAAGCTCTCCGCCCGCGCTGTTCCCTGTGTCTTCCTTGGCTTTGTCCCTGACGCGCCTGGTTGGCAGTTTTACCACCCCACCTCGTGCCGTGTCTTCCCCTCTCAGGACGTCACGTTCGACGAGTCGGTTCCCATTTACCGTCTCTTTCCCTACCGCACTGCCCCACTCCCCCCCCCGCCGCTCTTCCTCGCTCCAGGTGCTCCCCAGGTAGACCCCCTCCCCGCTCCCGGTCCTGCTCCTTCAGGTGTGTCTCAGGTAGACCCTCCTCCCTTGACTGCGCCGGTTGAGGTCACTGGTGACTCAGGTCCTGCTGAGGGTGGTCCTGCTCGGGGTGCTGCTTCTGGGGGTGCTGAGCCTGGGGGTGCGGAGTCTGGGGGTACTGGGCCTGGGGGTGCGGAGCCTGGAGGTGCTGAGCCTGGGCGTGAGGAGTCTGGGGGTGCTGAGCCTGGGGGTACTGAGTCTGGGGGTGCTGCACCTGGGGGCGCTGAGGCGTCTGGTGAGCAGTCTCCCTGGAGCGGCCGTCTCCGTAGTCGCTCCGCTGGTGCCTCGCCGCTGCACTCTCGTCGTCGTCTCCCTCTCTCCCCATAGCAGCTGCGTGAGTAGTACGTTAGCCGTCAGGGTCGAGCTGCTAGAGCTAGGGGCCCTGCTGTGGGAGGTGCTGGAGCTGGTGACTCTGCTACTGGAGTTGTTTCTACTGGAGGCCCACTGGAGGTGCCGGTTCTGGTGGCGCTGGCGCTGGAGGTTCTGGAGCTGCTGCGGGTGCTGGCGCTGGAGGTTCTGGAGCTGTTGGAGGTGCTGGCACTGGTGGCGCTGGAGCTGGAGGTTCTGGAGCTTCTGCAGGTGCTGGCGCTGGAGGTTCTGGAGCTGTTGGAGGTGCTGGCGCTGAGGGTTCTGAGTCTGCTGTTGCGCGGTCTCCTTGGAGTAGCCGCCTTCGTCCGCGTGTGCCTCTCACCTCTCAGCAGCTGCACGACTGGTACGGTCGCCGTCAGGGTCGCGCTTCTGGAGCTCGGGGCTCTGCCGCTGGAGGTACTTCTGCTGACGTCACTGGAGCTGGGAGTGGTGCTGGTCCCGGAGGTGCTCGTACTGGAGGTACTGGAGCTGCTGGGACTGGAGGTGCTGAGCCTGAGGGTGCTACTGCTGGAGACCCTGGGTCTGGGGGTGCTGCTGCTGGAGACACTGAGGCTGGAGACCCTGGGACTGGAGGTGCCGGTTCTGAGGGTGCTGCTGCTGGTGGAGCTGGTCCTGGAGGAGCTAACGCTGAGGATTCTGGAGCTGCTGGAGGTTCTAGAGTTGCTGGGGGTACAGGAGCTGCTGGTGCTGGTGGCACTGCACAGCCGCGCTTGTTCTTTGCTCCACCGTCTCCGTCGTCTCAGCCACCGCCTGACTCTGTGCTTCGTCAGGTTCTTAGTCTCCCTTCGTCTACTGGTCTTCCGTTACAGCCTGGCTCACCGCTGCCTGCTCCTCCTCCCTACACTGAGCAGACAGGGGGTCTTACTGAGCATCGTGAGCCTGCGTCGCGTTCTGTCTCGCCTGTCCGTTCTGGTCGTTCCGGTCGTAGTGTTCCTCGTCCGCGTCAGCCGGCTGTCTCCGGCACCCACCTCGTAGTCCGTCGTCTTTCCTCTCCTCCGCAGCGTGTTCCTCTGCCGTCTCCTCCTGCGTCTTCTCTGCCTACCGTTCCAGAGCCTGAGTCTGACCGCGCTTGTGCTGTTCACCCTACTGTCACGCGTCTGCTAGCCACAGTTCTCACTGACCCGTCGTTTGAGTCTGCCATAGTGGCTGAGCTTGTTGACTTTGCTGCTGCCTGTCGTCTAGACTACGCCGCTAGTCTTGTTGCTGAGTCTGAGTCTGTCTGTCCTCCGTCCGTCGGGGGTGAGTGTGCTCTTGGCACGGACGTCCTTGAGGACAGGCAGGAGGACCTTGAGTGTCTTGCATATCAGAATCCCAACCACTATACCATTGGGATAAAAGGGCTTGTTAAGTAGCGGGTCAGTGCGCCCATAACCCCCCAGGCCAACATGCCTGTAACCCTTCCCTAGGATCAATCGGGGATCACCAGTGGACCTCTGACACCCCCCCGCACTGGGATGCCCGAAGTGCACACACTGGGATTCAAACCCGAGACCTTCGCTCTGATAGCATGTCAGAATCCCAACCATTAGACCATTGGGATAAAAGGGCTTGTTAAGTAGCGGGTCAGTGCGCCCATAACCCCCCAGGCCAACATGCCTGTAACCCTTCCCTAGGATCAATCGGGGATCACCAGTGGACCTCTGACATTGCAGCCGCTGTGCCTCATCTCGTGTCCATGCTGCTTGCCCCTGAGGGAGACCCGGATGCTCCAGACATCCCGACCCCGCGCTCTTACGCTGAGGCGATCGCGGGTGAGTACTCCTCTCAGTGGCAGACAGCCATGGACGCAGAGATGGCATCCTGGAAGTCCACAGGCACGTACATCGACGAGGTTCCCCCTCCTGGGGCGAACATCGTCAGTGGCATGTGGATTTTCAGGGTGAAGCGGCCGCCAGGTTCTCCGCCTATCTTCAAGGCTCGTTACGTTGCTCGAGGTTTCAGTCAGCGAGAGGGAGTTGACTTCTTCCAGACCTTCTCCCCCACCCCGAAGATGACCACTCTTCGGGTGCTGCTGCACGTTGCCACTCAGCGTGACTACGAGCTTCACTCTCTTGACTTCAGCACAGCTTTCTTACAGGGCAGCCTGCACGAGGAGATCTGGCTGCGCCGCCCTCCTGGCTTCACTGGGTCGTTCCCTCCTGGTACCCAGTGGAGCCTCAGGCGGCCGGTCTACGGTCTCCGCCAGGCGCCACGTGAGTGGCACGACACACTGAGGACGACACTTGCTGCTCTTGGGTTTGCTCCGTCGACTGCTGACCCGTCGCTGTTTCTGCGCACCGACACTTCGCTGCCGCCGTTCTACATCCTCGTGTACGTTGACGACTTGGTCTTTGCCACTGGTGACACTGAGGCTCTCGCCCTGGTGAAGTCGGAGCTGCAGAAGAGACACACGTGCACAGACCTGGGTGAGCTGCGCAGTTACCTTGGCTTGCAGATCACCCGGGACAGAGCACGCCGCACCATCACACTGACTCAGTCACACATGGTGCAGCAGGTCCTTCAGCGCTTCGGCTTCACCTGGTCCTCGGCACAGGCCACTCCTCTGGCTACAGGTCACTCGCTCTCAGCTCCACCTTCGGACGAGTCCGTAGAGCCGAGTGGTCCTTACCCAGAGCTAGTGGGCTGCCTCATGTACCTGATGACCTGCACTCGTCCTGACCTTGCGTACCCTCTTGGCCTTCTGGCTCGCTACGTGGCTCCTGGTCGGCACCGAAAGGTGCACATGGATGTTGCTAAGAGGGTACTACGCTACTTGTGCAGTACATCGGGCATGGGGCTCGTGCTTGGAGGACGGAGCGACGTTGTCCTCACTAGGCACTCAGACGCTTCTTGGGCTGACGACCAGGCTACGCAGCGGTCGTCACAAGGTTACACCTTCAGCCTTGGCTCTGGTTCGGTTTCTTGGCGTTCTACACGCTCGTCTTCAGTTCTCAGCTCCAGTTGTGAGGCTGAGATCTACGCCACAGCCATGGCTGCACAGGAGTTACGCTGGCTCACCTACCTGCTGACCGACTTGGGAGAGCGGCCTCGTTCTCCTCCAGTGTTGTACGTCGACAACAAGGCCGCCATTGCCTTGTGTGAGGAGCACAGACTGGAGCACAGAACGAAGCACATCGTTCTGCGTTACTTCCTGGCTCGATAGTTGCAGCAGCGTGGTCAGCTTCGTCTTGCTCACGTGGCCACTCGGGCCAACACTGCTGATATATTCACCAAGGCACTTCCGTCTGGTGATCATCAGCGTTTCTGCACTTTGTTAGGTCTTGTGCCCACTTTTCCTCACTTGCTGTAGACGCTGCTTGTACTGTGATCTATATATATACCTGCATGCTTGCTTTGCTTCTCTTGACTGGTCTTGTGACCCCTTGCTCTCCCCCACTTTGCCTATGGGGGTGTGTCAAATATTATATATGCTATATGTGTTTAGGCTGTAGTGGGGTAGCCAATATGGGGTACAGCCCACATTAGGGTTTCATATTTGTACCCAATTCTTTCATAGTTCAATCATTCCTGCTGCTAGATTCTAACAGAGGGCACCAGCTAAGGCGACTCACACGGTCAGACTTTCAGCGAAGCAATGGGAATCAGAGAAGCGGCACGCATATGCTCGCAATCTTCACGATCGGCCTGCAGTCAAGCTCGTGCCGCTGACCTTGGAAACATTTGGTTGCCTCAACCCGGCCTTTAAGACCTTCTTACGTGATTGCAGCCGACGTGCAGCAGCTCGCCGTGTGGACCGTGGGGCATCAGATGCAGTTTTCTTCTACGCATCTCGATGGCATTGCAACGTGCTCAAATGAGATCAATTCGTCACAGGGTAGAAGAAGCTTTCCCCTCCTCCTCTGATTCCATCACCACACAGGACCCTTCTTTCTCTGATTTCCCAGCCTTCACTGACGACGTCCCTGACTTGGAATACCTCTTCAATCCCCTTGCGTGAGGGGGCCATTAAAAAACCAGCGGGACATAGTGTGGGGTACAGATTCTCAAGTGCATAAGTTCCTCTGCCGCTAGTTTTCATCCAAAGCCGTTCTTATGTGCTTCTCAAACACATTTGTATTGAATCACCCCATCCCCTTCCATAATTATTTTCTGAGCCACATCATTGTACATATTGTAACTAAACCTTGTTCATAAAGAATGGTTAGAGGGTCGTGCTAATTACGCGAAGGTTCGAGCCTGTATGGGCCAATTCTTTTCTGTACCTCTCGTGCGGCTGGTGCTTCAATTGCCCCTTCGCGAACTCGTGGCATAAGAACTCTCGCCCTCCTCCTCCACCCTGTCGTTTTTTGCTCGCTCGCAGTGGCACTTCCGCATGGCGTCGCGATCCGCGTTGGCCAGCGTGCCCACGGCCGTGGCGGCGTGCGCGTCGTCGTGCGGCGCCACTCTCGCCGCTGCGGCAGCGCCGCTCCTCGTTGCATCCGATCCATTCGCCGCGTTCGATCGGCGTGAGTTGCGGCGAGTAGATCCTGCTCGCTGCTCGTTGACGACCGCTGCTTCCCCATCGGAGCAGACGGCGACCGAACAATCTCGATCGGTTCTTTCCGAGCATCCGCACTCCCACCCGCCCGCCGCTCCCGCCGCTCGGGTCTCATCCGCTGCCTTCGTTTCTTCCCCGCTCGTAGCCCACATCCAATCGCGCTTCGCCGTCGCTCCAGCTTCCACAGCCGTCCGTCCGGGGTCGGCAGGATCTCGTCATCTCCTAGCCGTCCGTCCAGGTTGCAGTGGTTACCACCACATTCTCAGCAGTGACGTGGCTCGCTCGCTCCTTCGCCAGATCTCGCTGACGTCATCGTGGCCACCTCAGCGCAGATTCAGCGGGTGCAGAGCAGCGGGATCAACGGCTAGCATTTTCTCCGGATCAACGGCTGAATTAGATCCTGGATCGACGGCTAGCAGCGACCGGAAGGATGCGGGAGAGGAGGGCGGGGCGGCAGTATCCGGGGGAGGTGGGTTGTCTGACCGCGAGGTGCTGAGTTTAGCTACTGACGATCTTGCACAGTCGCACGAAAGCGATGATGACTATAGCGAGGCACGTGAGGATGGCGCGTCGGATGATAGCGACGTTGATGCGAGCGCGCAGGAATCATCGGATGTGGCGCGGAGCAGCGACGGCGGGGGAAGCGCGGATGCCCGCGCAATGGGCGCGGGGGGACAGGCGGAGGCGGACGCGGCAGCGCAGCAGGCGGCGGGGCTGGCGACACTGGCGGAGCTGTACGAGGCGCAGGAGAAGCTCGCCAGGAGCGCGCGCTTCCGCGAATCGGTTGCGCTCTTCCGCGCGTGGATGCGCAAGGACAAGAGCGCGGGCGCAGGGGGAGGCGCAACCGAGGCAGGGGGCGCTCCTGCGCCGGCTGCTGGCCCGGAGGCAGCCGGGGAGGCTGGGGCCGCGGCAGAGAAGGCGGAAAGGCCGGAATGGTGGAATCACGAATTCGAGGCGCAGCTACGGAAGGAGCGAGAGGAACAGCTGCCGTTGATGACGTGGCAGCTGTACCTGCACGCGCTGATGCACGTGGGGGCACCCGTGCAGGCGGTGCAGGGTGTGGTGCGCGCGATGAGGGAGATGCGCGGGCAGGGCGTGCAGGCGTGCGAGGAGACGTTCCACGTGCTGCTGCGCACCGCCCTCGCCCGCCGCGACGCCAACGCCGTGCTGCTCTTCCTCACCCAGTGCGTCGGGCCGTCAGGGTGTCGTGGGGGTGTGGGGCCGTGAGCGCGTGGGTGGGGGCGTGACGTGCGCTGCGAGGGGGGAGTGGGGGGTGCGCTGGGAGATATTGTTTGCAGTGGGCATGGGGGTTGGGGGTTGGGGGGGTTGAGGGCACGCGGGGTTTTGGGGTGCATCCGCATGCTGCATTGTGCATACTCCTCGTGGGGAAGGGGGTTTGGGGTTTGGTGGTTTGGGTTGACTTTGAGACACCGCTAGCTGCAGCACCCGCTGTTCCCAGCATGCCCCGCCGCACCCCTCCTGCAACCCCCTCCCCGCCCTCCCTGCCAACCGCTCCCGCCCCGCCTTCCCTGCCACCCCTCCTGCGATGCCCCACCCCCCCACCCGCACGCATTCCCCATCTTCTCTCCTCTCACGCACCTCCCATCCCTCCGCTCCCTCCCATCCCTCCCACCTCCCCCCTCCTCTTCCGCTCCCCTCCCACCCCTGGTGGCAGGATGGGCGCGGCAAGAGTGGCACCAAAGGCGGGCAGCTACAGCGAGGCCATAGTGCTGTGCGCCAAGGAGCGCCGCATGCAGGCGGCCTTGCAGCTCGTGGCCGACATGCGCAGGGCGCGCATGGTGCCCTCCCCCCGGGCTGTCTCGGAGCTGCTCGCCACGTGCCTGCACACACGGCGCTCGCGTGATGCCATCACCGTGCTCGAGATAGTTAAGGTGCGTGCTGCCAAGGGGGGTGTGCCGCTGCAGGAGAGTGTGGATGCGCCTCTGCCCCCTGCCCCCTGCCCTCTGCCCTCTGACCGCTGCCCTTTGGAGGGCAGGGCGGTGGAGCATGCACCCTCCCCACCCTCTGCAAGCACCGTCCCTCCCCCGCCGTCAATGCATGGCAGGCGCACAAGATACAGGTGGAGGGCCGGGCCATGGAGCATGCGCTCATGACGGCCGTCGACGCGGAGGACTATGACTGCGCTACTCTCGCCCTGCAGGTGCGACCTCCTCCTCCTCCTCCTCCTCCTCCTCCTCCTCCCCCCCTTCACCCTGCAGTTATTTCACTCACCCTCCTTCTCGCATCCCCTCTTCTCATTGCTCTCTCCCCATCCCACTCTCATCGCATCCCCTCTCTCCCCCGTCCCTCGCCCCCCGCCCAGCAGCTGATGCAGGAGCAAGGCGGGCACGTGCACGACGGGCTGATGCTGCACGTGGCCAACATGGCGGCCAGGCTGGGCGACGTTAACCTCATAGAGCACGTGTGGGAGCGCCTCGTGCGACTGCCCAACCCGCCCTCCCCCGCCTTCCACCTAGCGCGCATCCACGCCTACAGCACCGCGCCCAAGTTCTCCGCCGCCTTCCGTGCCGCGCTGCACCTGCAGGACTTTCTCCTGCACCCCACGCTCGCCCGCCCCAAGGACCGCCCCCCCTATGACATCTTCCCCAAGTTCCGCCCCGGCGCTCCCGGCGCTCCCCAGGATGATCTATTTCGCTACACGCTGCCCCTGCCGGCCCCGCCTGGTGCTGCGGGTGCAGGGGGTGAGGGGGAGGGGCTGGCGGGGGGAGAGGGGGGGGTGACAAGTGCCGGTGCGCCATTGGAGGAGCTGAACCCGTTCACGTCGCTGAGGCCGCTGACGCTGGCGCTGTGCTCAAGCGTGGACGTGCTTGATAAGGTGAGCCATGGGGGGCACACTGGGGGAACCTTTGAGGTGACTTTTGAGACGCCTCGAAAGTTGCGGGCGCTCTGCTCCAGTGTGGTGGACGTGCTTGATAAGGTGAGCCATGGGGGGCATGCGGGGACAGCTGGGGGCAGCGGGGGGCAGCGGGGGGCAGCTGGTTCGAATGTGGGGAGGAGGGGGGAGGAGGGGGGAAGGGGGGGAAGTGTGTGGGGAGAGCACTGCTTGGGGAGTGGATGAGGGGAAGTGCTGGGGGAAGAAATGGGGAGCAGTGTGGGGATGAGAGATGGAGGGACGAAATGGGGAAAGGTGGTGGTGTAACTTTGGGGCCGCTTTCAGGGTCGTGCGGCGCTCCACCTGACTGCCATGCTGCTCCACCTGACTGCCATGCTGCTCCACCTGACTGCCATGCTGCTCCACCTGACTGCCATGCTGCTCCACCTGACCACCAACCCGTGCATACAGCACTGCTGTGCCATGCAGAGGGAGGTGTGTGCAGTAGCCATACCTCACCATGCTCCCCCCTCTTCTCCACCCCCTCCACTCTCTTCTTCTCCCCTTCACCACCTTCGCCCCCTTCCCCCCCCCACCAGCAGGGCTACAGCACGTTGGACAGCATGCATGGGCAGGGCGAGGCGGCGCTGGCAGCACTCAACTTCTGTGGCGCCTCTTTCCTCCCCTCCTCTCCTCCCCTCCCCTCTCCCCCTTCCCACGGCACCACCAGGGCTACAGCACGTTGGAGAGCATGCACGGGCAGGGAGAGGTGGTGGCGTTGGCGGCGCTCAACTGTGTGGTGGCGGGGTGTGCCATGCAGCGCGACGTGGGGCGAGCACAGCTCACCTTCGATGAGATCACTCGCACCTTCCAGCTGCAGCCCGACACACACTCCTTCAACGCCCTCATGGACTGCTACTCGGGCGTGGCTGACGTGAGTCTTGCTGGCATTGCTGCGCTTGACTCTCAAGCTGAGAGGCACACACGCCTGAGTCAACCGAGAGGGGAACATAGCTTGGGAAGAGGGGGCAGCTGGCCTGAATAAGGGCTTGCTCTCATGCGCTGCCCACGTGGAGTGCCATGGCTGTGTGCCTGATATGCGTCGAAAGGTGTGATCGCATGCAGCAGTGCAGCTTCTGGGACGCGAGCCTTGCGTACCCTCTCTAACGCTTCTCTCTTACTGCCCCTCCCTCTGCCCTCCCTCTCTTGCCACCCCCAGGTGCGCACGGTGGTGCAGCTGTTTGAGCACATGACGCGCACACTACACCTGCCACCCTCCGCCGACTCCTTCACCATCCTAGTGGATGCCCACATCCGCGCCTTTGATGCCCCGGGGGCATGCATCGCCATGGATAAGATGGTGAGTGCATCGCCATGGATAAGATGGTGAGTGCATCGCCATGGATAAGATGGTGAGTGCATCGCCATGGATAAGATGGTGAGTGCATCGCCATGGATAAGATGGTGAGTGCATCGCCATGGATAAGATGGTGAGTGCATCGCCATGGATAAGATGGTGAGCTCTACTCTCTCCACCGCACCGCCCTATTCCTTTGAGGTTATGCGACCCTAATCCTCTCACTGCCTGCACTGCTTATCGCAACCTCAAACATCCATCTCCCTTTTCCTCCCGCCTCACGTGCCCACCCCACTCCACCCGCCCACTCCTGCTGCAGCCCGGCACTGCCTATGCTCGGGACTGCACAGGGGTGTATGGAGCACGGCAGCAGCTCATGAGGTGCACCGCTTCCCCAACCCCGCCCTCACCCTTATCTGCCTTCCCCCCTCTCCCCCCCACCCCCGCCCCAATCTCAGGTGGAAGCGGGCTTCACACCATCACGCCCACTCCTGCTGCGCCTGCGGCGGCGCTGCCTGTGCTCCGGGCTGGTGGAGGGAGTAGCGCGAGCAGAGGGCCTGCTGCAGGCGCTGCGCTTCCGCACCGTCAACGCCGACGAGCGCCGCCGCCGCCAGCACCTGGCGCAGCTGCCGCCCTCCGTGGCGGATCCGCGCCTTGCTGCCCGCATGCAAGGCGGGGGGCAGCGGTGGGAGCAACGTGGGGAGGGGCAGCGGTGGGGGAGGCGGCGATGGGGGGAGCAAAAGGGCGAGGAGCAGCAGAGGGGCCAGCATGGGGAGCAGCAACAACAACAGTGGCAGCAGGAGCGGCAGCAAGAGGGGAAGGATGCAGGTTCACATGGTTTGTGAACAATGATAGCTTCAGCGAGAGGGAGGATAGGCATTTTACCTGCCGACTAGCATGTGGATGGGCATGTTTCCCTGTGATATAGTAATCTCCTGGCTAGAAGGCCAGGGGGTTTTCTATGAAATAATGGGAAAATGCTTAGGTGAACAGCAAAGATGGCACTTTCTTATGAGACCCCTACACTTTATTACTTGAATACAACGAGTTTGCGCATGTTATGGAAAATCAACGTTTTGGTTCGGAAGTTTGTGCCAATGTTTGCTTGGTGGCATATGTTATAAACCAGATAGAGGATGGTTTGCCAACTGAAGTGTAGGAACTTTGCACTGAAACTTTAGCGAGCGCATTCCCCAACACGCGTTTCATTTCCTGCTTCCCCGAGCATTCTTCCTCCCCCGCCGCAACCGAGTCGGCTCCTTCCACCGTAGCACCGAGGTTTGCGCCGCGGGTTCGTCGCGCAGCCCCACGATGAGCGCGCGCGGCGCTGTGTCGCGCTCGCTCCACCAGCTGGTGCGCCGCCCGCCTTCTCTGCCACGTGCCCTCCCCGGGTTCGCTGCCCTTCCCAACCTGACTCACCTCTGCGCCTCTCCCCTTCTCTTCTCGACGCAATCTCTGCTTTCTCCGCCTCGTCTCTTCCTCTTCCCTCTACCTTGTCTCCGGCATGCGTTTTCGTAGAACCTTCGAGAAGGCCGAGAGTCTTGCTCCTGACCCATGAATGCATGAACGGAAGTTCACGAGCCGCACTCACGCGCTGCTGTGTGTGCTGCTGGCGTGCAGGCGGGTCCTCTGTCGTCGGCCATCCGCGCTGCACCGCTGCGATCCTCACCATCACTGCCGCCAATGCCCCTGCCGCGTTCTCTTCCACGCCAGCCACCATCACACCCACAATCCTCCCAATCGTTCTTCGCTCTCCCACACGGTCTCACCGGCATTCCCAAGGGCTGTAACATCGCTGCTTCCAACATTGCCACGTGGCAAGCGGCGCCCGGCGGTTTGGCAGCTGGCATAAGGCAGCAGATTAGGACGCTCACCCTCACATGCCTTCGGGGCCGTGCGGTGGCGAATCCCAGACTGCCTTTGGGTCCGCTTCTGCCACGTGGCAGCGGCTCATTGGCTGCCCCTGCCCTGTGGAAGGGGCTTTCTCTTGGCGGTACGTTCTCCACCAATCACATGCTGCGTGCAAACGGCATGATGCTGGCATGCCTTTCGGCATCTTCTCATGTGTCTCAGCATTCTGCGCGTATCTCCCCACCTCCCATTCCTCCTCATTTTCCACCCTCGCAAGTTTCACGCACTAGTTTCCACACCATGTCGAAATTCATCGCAAATGGGATCACTGTTTGTTGCACGCACCACCCATTCCGCTGTGCCCTGCAGTGCAGTGTGCAGCAGTGGCTTCCCTGCTGCCCTCCAAGGCTTCTGCTTGCACTGACGGTGAGAGGGGGGGGGGGGGGGGTTGGTGGTGAGAGGAGACGAGGATTGGTGGGGATTGGAGGAGGGGGTTGGTGGGGATTGGAGGAGGGGGTTGGTGGGGATTGGAGGAGGGGGTTGGTGGTGAGAGGAAGAGGGGGTTGGTGGGGATTGGAGGAGGGGGTTGGTGGGGATTGGAGGAGGGGGTTTGTGGGGATTGGAGGAGGGGGTTGGTGGGGAGAGGAGGAGGGGGTTGGTGGGGGTGTTGGTGGGGAGAGGCGAGGCGAGCGGTAGTGGTGTTGGTTGTGGTAGAGGCAAGGCCGTGGCAAGGCAAGGGGCTGGAAGGCGGATTTGGAATGCAGGCAGGGGTGCCACCGTGCCAGGTGGTGGTGGTGGTGCGCGTGCCAACATCAGTGATGGCCAGAGAATGATGCACTTCACATCCCTCTCCTTCACCCCACCTCCCCATTCCCTCTATCCATGGCCACCCTCCTCTCCCTTCTGAGCACCCTCAACCTCGCCCTCATGCCCCCCACCCTCGGTACCCCGCCTCCATCCATTTTACCCTCATCAGCCCCACCCCCATTTCCCCCTCCTCTCACCCCCCTGCCCTCACCCCAGCCACCGCAATCCCCCCACCTTCATCCCCCGCACCCTCATCCCCCCACCTTCATCCCTCCCTCCTGCCTTCATCCCCTTCCCCTAGCAATTTATGGCATCACCGTGCCCCTCTCTGCTCTGCCCTCCCTTGTGCCTGTTCCCTCCCCCTCTCTTCATTCCCCCCCCTTCATCTTCCCTCTCCTCCCGCCCATTCTCTCTTCTCCCGCACAGCACCGGAGCATCCCGCCGCACATCGCCAGCAGCAGCAGCGGCCATGTTGGCATCACCACGCTCGTCTCGCTCCTTGCTCACCTCTCCCCCTCCTTGCTCACCTCTCCCCCTCCTTGCTCACCTCTCCCCCTCCGCTGCTCTGGACTTCTCTCTCTGCCCCTTCCACTTTCCTCCTCACACCCCCCAACCCCCCACCCCACCCCCCCCTCTCTCTCCCCCTCCCACGCAGCTCCTCAAACCCCACCGCCTCTCAGAGACAGCAACGACGGCGACGACGACGTGTCGCTGCTGGCCCTCCTGCGAGTGCTGGTGGCGCAGATCTGGCCGCTGCTCGTGCTGCTGGCGTCCCTCTTTGCGCTGCAGGACGAGCCCTCCATGGCGGCGGCCAACCTCGCTGTGCTGTGCTGGGGGCTGCGCCCTGATGAGCACAGCCTGCACGGCTGGCTGGAACAGGTGAGATGTGGGGCAGGTGGGGTGGGGGGCAGGTGAGGGGGGGTGCGCTGGCGAGTGCAGTGGTGAGGTCGGTCATGTTTCAAAGGACTCATTACCTTCCACCGTGTCACATCTGCTGGGCGCTGTGCTTCATGTGGTCATCTTTCCGCCGCTTCTCGTTGTTGTGTGCTGCATATTGCCACGTGGGATGAAGACTGTGCTGTATGCATGGCTGTAAGCACGGTTTTGTACGCATGTGCATAATGAATTCGCTTCGCTGTCAAACCGCAAGCCTGATCAAAATGCATGGATTGTATGGGAAGCACTGTGCAACACTGTGCATGGTTGATTGATCTGCCGATGGCAATGCGTGAGTGCATGGATGGATGCACGCATGAATGGATGCATGCATGAATGGATGCACACATGTTGCACAGAAACGAAATGAGGACCTCAAGGATAAGAATGGGCTCGACTGGGCCACATCGCACGTACGTACTTTTCAGTATCTCCATTTTCTCATCATGTGCACATTACTTGGTTCTGTCCCAACTCATCCGGCTTTGATGTGAAGTTTCTCATATGCCTCAACTCGATGTTATGTTTCATAATCATGCGTAAAGTGCCTTTTGTAATAGATTCGCGTTGCACATTTGAATCTTCAGCATATTCGTATGTGATTCACCATGCCATGTCCCGTCCCTGGAATGTCCATTCACATGCTACAGTCCAAAATCTTCATAATGTAGAGCAGTGATCGACTCTTAATTCCAGCGCTCATCCATGCTGCATGGTTGGCAGTGATCACCAATCCTCCACCTCTCATCATTCGTGTCCACAGCATCCAAGCTGGCTCAATCACGGAATGCCCCACTCGTAGGGTTATGCCTTCAGGCCGAAAGGTTTCAGGCACCTGACCAATGATGTTGATGGGGCGTGCGCTGTGATGGCAGGTGATGGGCGCTGTGGTGAAGGTGGAGTACACCGACTGCTGGTTCTTCTCCCTCGCTAAGGTGTCATCCATTACAAGCAGCTATACTGTACTCGGCATCTTCAACAACTGGTTCACTGTATCCACCACCAAGCAATCCCTGCAGTTTCCAGGCCTTCGAGACCGAGACTCTGATTAGGATGCGTTCCCACGAAGCCCGTCAAACAAATCGCAGGTTGCTCGCATCAATTCATGACAATCAGATAAACGTTTATCCAATGGCCCAAATCGATACACCGGAAGGTCCAAGCCCTTATTAGCCTAAAAAGGCAGTGCACGGACAACAGCAGCACCCAATTCCGCCCAAGCGCACCCCCCCCAACACCAGTCATCACTCGGCTCAGCAGCCCACGAGACAACCGACAAACCTTCCACATAAAGCTGCCATTCTTTTCTCATCCATATACCCTACCCTCTCGTTGTTCGCGGCATCTGCAGGAAGCCACTCTTCTTAGGTGGCGTCACAGCTGGTGGGGCGACCTTATGCAGAGCCGTAGCCGTAGCTGGCGTATTTGCAGTCCGGCGCGACGATGGACGACGAGATGTAGTCCTCCACTGCGCCGTCCAGGAACCCCTTGCCCTCCGCCTTATCCACGTCCACGGGGTGCTGCAGCAGCGCCGCCAAGTGCGAGAACTTCACCGCGCGCTGCAGCTGCTCAGGCGAGTTCCTAAAAGTCTGCCCCAGCACGCCGTGCACGGCTGACGTCATCTTCACGTCGGAAAGTTCCACGTTGAAGTGCGTCTCCGCCTCGGTCGGCGTCTGCAGGAGCGGATGCGCCACGCGCACGCGCACGTCCAGCTCCGCGAGTCCCGCCACGCGCACCTGGAACTGATCCACGTCGAACGGCCCCTCTTTCGCCTCCGCGACTTTGGTAACCACCAGCCCGCTTTCCGTCGCAATCGACTCGCCGACGCGCGGAGGCGCCGTCATCGCGCCGTCGATCTCGAGCAGCGAGAGGAAGCCGTCTTCCCCGCGCTCCTGCTGCTTCCCCTTGCGCGCGACCATGCGCAGCGTGTGGTTCGCGCCGTCAGGCGTCATCCACACCACGCCGACCTCCTTAATCCACGTGTGCAGCTCCGTGCTCGACTCGCTCGACTTCGCCGACGCGGGAAGCGCGGGCGGTGCGCCTTGGTATCCGTTCAGATGCATGTTGACGTGGAATCGACGGTCAGAGAAGAGGCAGAACGATTTGTCGAGTCGCCCGGTGAAATCGTAGTGCGTGCCGTGCGCGCCCGTGAGATGCGGGTCGTTTTCGACGAGCGCCGTGCCGTTGCAGAGCCCGCCGACGAAACTCAGAGGGTACGACGCCGCGTTCGCAGCCTGCGTAGTCGCATCGCCCTCGTACGGCGTCTTGAAAGAGTCCGACGTGCCCGACCCGCCGTTCTTCTCCAGCAGGTAGCACTGCACGCAGTCGATAAATCCCGCCACATTCGCGTTCTCGCCGGCGAGACGCGAGCTGGGGGAGGAAGAGAGAGAGCATCCAAGGAGAGGCGGGGAAAATCATAGCAGAAAGAAATCAGTCACTCCGGCACGCCATTGGGCTCAGCGCGTTTTGAATCAGCGACTCCGGAACTAGTAGCTTCCGTTTCGGAGCAGATTTTCAAAAAATCTCAGCCCGCACTCACTTCTTAAACCAATGCCACTCGTAGCAGTAGGTGGAGCGCGCGCATGCGCGGCAGCACTCTTGCAGCGTGTCGCCGTACACGCCCTTCACCACGTCGAAAATGGTCCCCACCTCCGTGTACCGCTCGAAGTTCACGGGGCCCGAGCCGCGCTGGTGTGGCGTGAACTGCCCGCCCTGGTCGTTGAACAGCCCCTGGTAATCGCCGATAAAGTTGTAGCTGGTGTAAGTGGACTGCGTGATCGTTGCGGTAGCGAGGTCGTCTATGTAGGGGCAGACGTAGCGAGTGTGGCATCCGCCAGCAGGCATGTTAGCCGCAGCTGCGGCGTGCAGTACCAGGCTGATGAGGGCGAGCTTTAAGTACAGGCTGCTAGCGAAAGCCATTGTACTCGAGAGGTTGTGAATGAAATGGCCAGTATGCAAGGTAGAACGTTCTGAGAGGAGGCTGATGATTCTTATTGCACGAGTTGAGAATCGCATCAGATAAATACTTGGCCGAAGGGCTTGGCATATGCGTTTGGTTGTTGTGGCGAATGGCACTTCGAGTAGCGGTAGGTTCACAATTACTGGTGAGCGGCTCGCTCAGGCAATTCTTCACATTGGTTTCGATTCGAGCAAAAGTGAACCACAATCGCTGGTTTGCTGGCGCAACGAAGCCACAGCGAGTCGCACCAACATCCTTCAAGGAAATTTTACGACTAACTGCCGTACTGTAACGCAGATTACCGCTCTGCATATCGCGAAACAGCAGCGTCCCACCCCACCAGGTTGCATCGAGTCACGTTGTGGAAGGCAGGGGTGAGCATGTGCCTCGCTGAAACGCAATATACCGATCTGAGTTTTACTAATTTAGCGCGTCACCGTATGGTACCCTCCAGAGGCAAAGCATATTGCAGCAAGTCGCACATTGGAGAAGGCAAAGATCCATGTGATGTGGCCCACTGCCCAGCTTGGCTTCATGCAAACTAAGGGCGTGTGTCTTTCGGCGCAGATGGTAAAGTTCAGGTTTTTTCCGAATTTTAGAAAATGAACATTGGTCGACCTGTTCTCGACTATCTCAACATTTGTTTGTCGAATCGCGTGTTCAAATTTCGCGTCAAGCGTTGGTCACAAAAAGGCTCGACTATCGAAGTTCGACCTTATAGGGCAGGGCCCGAGTCGCACTCAATCTTCGTAGGTTACCCGAGTTGGTTACGATGGATTTGGTAGTGCGTGTGATGTGCAAACGAAGCGTACGACGTTCCGCAAAATTTGCAAATTCATCGTGCGTGTGACAAATAACACACGATTGGATATATGTGTACGTGAAAACTCAATTGTGAGTTCGACCTGAGTTCAGTGTCCTCGTGGTTTTCCAAACACTGAGCTTTACTTCACGAACTTCGCAAACAACCCTTACGACATTCGCGAAGCTGGTAACTAGCAGAAGTTTGACCTTTGTTCCGAACGTCTACACCAAAAGACACACACCCTAAGTCCCCTCATGCATCCATCAGTACCAGCCCCGACGAGGTCTGTCTTGCCACTGCTTTGGGAAGCTTTCTGTTTGTGAGCTATTCGCTTTTGGTCTTAAGGTGGGGTGAGATTTGGGTTTGTGTAAGGAATTTTTCAGCATTCCTTACCGCGCATCTCAACGTTGCATACACGATCGACCGTTTCTTCGCCCGTTACTTCTAACGGTGTTTCACCGCCTTCGCGCGCTACATTTGCCAAACCATGCATCGCTGGCCTGGCCCGAGTTGGCCTACGCTTCGGGACTAGCCCGAACCTAGCTGGCAGCATCGCACAAGCAAGATCGCACGCACCGCGTAACCGTTTGCTTGTTTTCGCTAACAATGTTCGCTCATGCCTTCGCTCATATTTGTACTCGTTTTCCAACTTAGTGCAATCATCGTTACCTCGATACATTGCACCCGTAACAGTTTGTCTTTCATCCTTGTTATTGTAAACATCGACGCAGCAAAGCCGAGGCTACCAGAGGCGTTCGACCCGAGCGCGAAAGGGAGCGACGTCCATAAATTTGTAGACGTGCTCGAGATTTATTTCAAAGCCGTTGGATGCACGACCCCGACCCACAACGCGATGCGCATACGGCTCGCGGCATCACTGTTACGAGGCCCGGCATTATAGTGGATATTTACGTGGATATCGTCAGAGGCAAAGGGACGTGGGCGCAGTTTCGGGCAGCACTGATCGAACGTTTCGAACCCATCAATACTTCTACATGGCGCGCGAACACATCCATCGACACAAACAGTTCGGGAGTGTAGCACAATACACGAAGCAAATGTTCTTCAACAAAATTATGGACCTGAACTCTGGCACCACCGTCTTGGTCACCCCTCCCTTCAGCGTCTCCGCGGCATGCACTCACGTCTCCTAGTTTCAGGCCTCCCCAGGTCACTGCCCCCGCTCCCGCGATCGCTTGCGCCACCGTGCACTCCCGCGTCGAGGGGCGGCAGCGCGCCGCTCCTCACTCCTCCTCGTTTCCTCCGACCACTGCTCCTCTGCAGACGCTGTACATGGACGTGTGGGGCCCTGCCCCCGTCTCTGGGCCAGGCCGGAGCGCTACTTTCTGCTGGTCGTTGACGACTTCACGCGCTACACCACGATGTTCCCCTTGCAGAGCAAGGTGGATGTCTGTAGTGTCTTGATCCCTTGGATCCGCGCAGTTCGTCTACAGCTGAGCGCACGGTTCCGGCAGGACCTCCCGGTGCTGCGGCTGCACTCTGACTCGAGGTGGTGAGTTTTCCTCCCGCCTCCTCGAGGACTTTTGTCGTGAGGAGGGCATCACCCAGTCGTTCACGCTTCCGACCTCTCCACAGCAAAATGGGATTGCAAAGCACCGCATTGGCTTGATCATGGAGGTTGCTCGCACCTCCATGATCCATGCGGCTGCTCCCCATTTTCTGTGGCCGTTTGCGGTCCGATACGCCGCGCATCAGCTCAACCTTTGGCCCTGTGTCTCCCAGCCAGAGACCTCGCCTACCCTGCTTTGGACGGGGGAGGTTGGCGATGCGTCGGCGTTTCGGGTCTGGGGTTCGCTTGCCCTTGTCCGCGATCCTCCCGCGGGCAAGCTCTCTACTTGCAGTGTTCGCTGCGTCTTCCTTGGCTTTCCCACTGACGCCCCTCCCTGGCAGTTTTACCACCCAGCCACACGCCGCGTCCTGTCCTCCCGCGACGTCACCTTTTACGAATCGGTTTGCTACTACCGTCTCTTCCCCAACCGCAGTTCCCCTGTCCCCCCCCCCAGCCCGTCTTCTTGGTTCCCCCGGTAGACCCCTCCCCCCCCCCCCCCCCCCCACGTCTTGCTCCTTCAGGTGTGCCTCAGGTCACACCACCTTCCTTGGTTGAGCCTTTGGAGTTTTCCTCGGACACCTCTGGCCCAGCTGAGGGGGATGACCCTGCTGCTGACGACACAACGGCCTCTCGCCGCCCACCGCGCTTGGAGACTCCTCCTGGTTTTCCGCCTCGGCCATCTTCGCCGCCTCTATAGCCTGTCACTGTGGACTCCGGT